ATAAATGGATTAAAAGCACCAGAAACATAAAAGGAGTGTGAATGACACTGCATTTATTAGGGATTTATACATGCAATTAAATTAAGGTGATTTTGTGATTCTCCTTTTGGCAGGGCTGGTATTTTGTAATATTTAACTTTTGTTATAATGTATTTTTTATGATTAGTAGGCTGTAACCACTAGGATTTATTCTGTCCACTGTATTTTTTATGACTTTGTCACAGCTAGGTATTAAAAAAATGATATTGTAACTATAATGCCTCTTCAAACAAAAAAAGTAAAACCTATTTTTGAAACATTGTTGAGTGTTGAAAGTACATCTTGAAATCCTTATAAGGGTAAAACAATAGCATTTACAACCTTGTATTTTGATACACCACAAAATCTTTGATTTCTCCTGATAGAACACTAGACATTCCAAAGAGACTTCACAATCTCTCCTTCGGAACATAGTATGCTATAACTAAAACTATTAGTGATTAGTATTCCTTTTCTCACATGCTCTGTGAGCCTCCTTTCCCTACCCCCAACTGTATCTCTGCCTTTACTTGGCAAGACTATCTGTTTACCATTCACTAACATCTTCCCTTTCTGGTTTCTGCTTTCAAATTATATATCATTTAATTATGAAAGGTACAGTACACAAATACAAGAATGTTCCTTACATTTTTACCTATTAGATATACTTGCTATATTTAAACAAATTATGTGGTTTTTATTTGCTTCTAAAGTCTATTCACTAGAAATGCATTGAAGGTTTCCCATGTGCAAGAAATTTGCTAGAGAGCTAACAAGGTTTGGCAGTGAGTATGGACATATGGGGTTTATATAAATGAGTAAGACATGATCCCTTCTTCTAATTTGGGAATAAACCACGTGCTTTTGTTCATCTTGCTCCCTCATATTGCAGTGCCATTCTCCTACCCTCTAATTGTTGGAACCTCTGTACCCTTCATTACTTCCTCCATCAAGCCCTTTCCAGAATGTCATACTCAAAGTTCATTACCTCATTTACCCTCAAAAGATCACTATATATCTATGTAGCATTACTCATTTTGCTTTTTTGCTATTGTTGCTTTCATGTCTGATTATACCCATTATTGCTAAGCTGTGGCTATTCAATTTAAATTAATTAAAATGAAGTAATAAAAAAGTCTAGTTGTTCTTGCTTGCATTAGCCACATTTCAATTGCTCAGTACCCACATGTTGTTCATGGTTTCCATGTTGGAGATGTAGACCATTTCCACCATTACAGAAAGTTCTATTGGAAAGCAGTGTGTAGAACTGTAAGCTTCCTGAAGGTAGGTGCCATATCATTTAAACTAATAAGATTCAAAACAATAAAATAATAAATGTAAAATATAAATATCGCAGGAGTGATGTGAAGCAAGAAAGAAGGTCAGGATTGTTTGGCATATAGCCACAGAACTGCTTAAAGCTCTGTTACTTAAAGCTCTGTTGTATTTGGGAAGATAACATTGAACTCTAAAGAAAGACGAGTACATTATGTCTGCTGAAATTATGTAGGTACTAGTGATTCAAAACAATCATAAAAAACACATATATAGTTCAATTTTAACAGATGTAGTCACACTGAAGTAAATGATTAAAGAGATGATATTTGATTTTTTCTACCAATACAAATATCCGTAATATCTAGTTTATATTCCTAATCAAAATTTTTAGAATAAAATTAAGTTATTTTAATACACTTGAAATATAATTTTAAAGAAATATTATATTATAAGAATGTATGCTCTAAAAATTCTAAGAAACTCTGTATTATTACCAAAAAAAAAAAGAGCATTTTTATGTTTTAACTAGTACAAAGGAAAAGTAAGTTATTACATTTAATTAAACTTGAAAAATAACATACAATTCTTGGTTTGTTAACCATGTATATCGATAAATTTTTGCTCAGTGAATACATTGGTCTTTAATGTCAGAATATTGTCCATAAGTAGGGAATTCTGCAAAGGGGAAGGATTAGGGCAGGAGCATGGCCTTGGACTCTGACTTGGCCACTAACTGGTATTAGGCAGATCACTTAAAAGGTCCAACAGTTTTCACTCATTCAGAGATGGGGCCACTGATCTTTACCACATATGTTTGTTGTGAAGGTTATGGAAATAGGTATTGAAGCATCAAACACCTGTTTGACATGCCCAATACTTGTCCTTTCAATACTGAGTTCAGAATTTGCCAGTGCCCTTCCTTGTGAACCTATCTGTATCTTTACCACCTAATTTAGCCAAATAAACTGAGGTTTCATACTTGATTTATTTTTTTCATGAATGATTTTTTTGTTTCTAATTGTCTGTCTATAGATCTTTTCTCTCTTACATATTTCTTTGATGGCAACAATTACAAAGTGAGACAATGAAAAGAACTCTTTAATGGGGTTTTAAACAGAGATAGCCTATGTCATTTACCTTGAAAGTAGTTTAAAGTAGCATCAATCTGTCAGAATTAGAAGGGATTCTATAATATTATGTGTCACTTTATATACCAAGAACAGCAACATTGTCTATTTGACTGAGCTGGCCTGAAGATTTGTACTGCATAGTGGCATTTATCATTCTAAGGACCCTTAGAACATGGGATCATGTTCACGTGAACACTATTATAACTTTGGAGAAGAAATAAGTAACATTCCTTTGCTTGATGTTTGTTATTCTCCTTCCAACACACACACACACACACACACACACACACACACACACACACACACCCTATCAGACCTTATTTCCAGGGTTTTGTTCATTTGAACCCCTTTCCTTGATTTTCACTTCTTTAACCAATGGATTTTCTTTGCATAATATAGGTTTTCTGAGTTAAGGACATGAGTTTTCTGAATCCTATGTTTTGAGTACTACTTAATTAATACCTTCCACAAGCAAAGCCTTAAGTATCTCGTCCGTGTAATGGGAATGAAAACATTTACCTGTGCGATCATTTTGTTTTGAAGTTTAAGTGAGAAATGGATGTCTAAATAATTTCTGACATGCTTTCTTAATAAATATTAACATTTCCCTCCTTTATCTTTTTAAGAGGTAAGTTGTTAGGATCTAATAAACTTACATGCTGTATAATGAGAGGTGAAGACATGGAAGTTGAGTCAAACCTGGGTTCAAATTTTGGCTCTGGCACTTATCAGCTGTGTGACCTCGGGGTATTATTCAATCTATTAAAATAGAATCTTAATTTCAACTTCATGCAGTGGTTGTGTGAATAAGGTAAATGTATATAAACTGCTTTGTATTCGTCTTGGTGTCTACCGTACATTAATAAGCTATTACTAAAACACTCAATTCCAATTATTATCTGTGGTTTAAGTTATGTTTAGCTACTCCCAAGATATCTTCCACTAGATTATAAGTTTCTGGAGGGTTGGGGGCCAGATTTAACTCCTTTTTGAACTTTGTAGAATCACCTACAACAGTGTTAAGTGCATTACTTTAATGTTTGTTCAGCTTCTGGCCAGTAAGACAAATACCTGAGATTTTTGGCCTGCCCACCTGCCAGCTACACCCTCAGGGTGGCTAGTAGGAGCAACAGGCTTGAGTAAATGATTACTTGTAATGGAAGCTGAATCAAGTTAATGGGCTTTCAAGTATAATGACACAACAATTGTATTATATAACTAGAACTCTATGAAGGATTATGAACTTGGCTCACATTTGTGTAATATCCATTAATTTATTCTGTATCTAGGCCATGTCTACTGAATTACTTTAAAAAATGTGTGTGTGCGGCCTAGAATGAGTATTGTGAAATACAACCCACTACTTTATGATCCTGACATGTACTATATGCTCTCTAATGATGACTAGGTATAAGGAGGAAAGTAAAAGAGAAATAAAAGAGAAAGGGAATTGAACATAAAATAAGAGGAAAAAAGGAGAATGATCAGGTTGAATAGGTGGTACATTCCAACATGACTGTCTTGGCTATTGTTTTTCTAACTTTCATATATAGATCTATTTAATATCATTATCCATGTTATATTTTTTATTGTTTTAAAATAGTATCTTTGTAAAATCATTGTAATTGTGATATACTTAAAAATATACTTTATTAATGTACTAAAATTAATTACTTGGGAGGGGTAATTTTAAAACATACTCTACCAACCAGAAAAATAAAAATTAGAAATAAAAATTTTAATATCTTTAAAATAAAATTGAAACACATTAAAAAATTTGTCAATGTTTTTCTTATGCAAAAAAAAAAAAAATATGATGTTCTGTATAATCTACCACTTGATGCACTATCCCCATGAGATAGATCTTACTTTTTTCTTTATTGGTAAGAAATATAGAATACAGAAAGTGGAATGGCTTGTCTTAGTATGTCACATAATATGAAACTGCCAGAATCAGATTTTAGAGTTTTATGCCTGATTTATTATCTTGAGCCTTTTATGTGATCTTGTTTATGGAGAAATTGAAAAAAAAAAAATCAGTTTAGGTCTGAGTGCTATGTATTAATTGTTTCCAGACCATAAGAGATGCAAGCTTCCTGTTCCTGTTATGTTAGTTTAACATTTCTCTCTAAACCAGAAAGCCTGTTTCATTTATTCTTAGTCAAATCAAATGATTCCTATACTTTTTCATTTGTGTTTGAAGATATAACAAAAGTATCCATCATTATAGTGTTATTTGAAGTGAAAATTTGTAGATGACTGTAGGAATGCCTATATTTGATATAAAGCCTGGCAAATTAAAAAAAAAAAAATACTTGGAAAGATCATATGTGTTTTTCATTTCATGCATTTGTGGCATTTTTTTGGTGTGTGTGTGGGGGTAAATTTTTGGTTTAGTCAAATAGTAAAAAATTTTAAATTTCTCAATTATTCTTAATTAAGATATGTGAGAAAAACTTTTTGTATAAATACCATTTAAATTAATAAGAAAAAGAGGTTATTTTCTTATATTTTGTCCTCTAATCTCAATCTTTTTTCATCTTTCTGTTTTTATTTTTTCTTAATTTAATTTAGAGGGTTGATAAAGTATCAAACTAATTTAGATACCCACCCTCCTGGCTGCATCAATCTTAATGGAACCCGCTACCAGAATATTCATTTACTCGAAAATCTCTCAGAACATTTTCATGAATCTTTCCCTGGAGGGTTTTCAAAACCAGATGAGGTTACCAGGAACACATCTGTGAAGATTTGTATGGAAGAGCCCAGGTTTCAAGCTAATTTTCCACAGGTCAGATTAACTTTATGTGTTTGATAGAATCTGCAAAGTCAATATTTCCATAGCAATTGATCAATGTTGCATTTAAGCATGTTATTGAAGGTGTATAAAGCAATTATTCTTACAGAACAGAACATTTTAGGATGTTTCAATAGCAAGTTATTACCTATTGTTCCATTATAGTCAGCTGACAGTTCAAAGAGAAAGACCTATGACATTACAGAATATAACCGACTGTATGATCTTTGCATACAATGGCACTGGTTTTTGCCACAAGAGAGGTAACAAAGATATTTTCCCTGTCCACTGAGGAAAATAAATTGAATAATAAAAACAATGGTAAAATAACTAATATTAATATTTATCATAGTATAGTATATTATGGTACAATATTATGTATAATTATAAATAATAAATTATAAAATTTACTTATTGACTGCTTAGTATTATCTGTTAGACAATGTGCCAAAATTCACTGTATGCATAAGTTTTTAATAGTCATAGTAACTCCTTGCAATTACTATGATCCTCAATTTTCTGGTGAGGAAATTGTTGCCTGAATACATAAAATACCTTGAGCAAACTCTACAAACTAATATGTGGTAGAATTAGAATGCAAAACTAGGTTTTTGAGTAAAATGCTTGTTCTTGGAAAACTTCCCCAAATTCCCAGTGAGTCGTTTGATAAGGGCCATAATCTTCCCTTGTGACCGTGGGAGCTGTATTCTTTGTCTGTACCAAGTGGAAGTAGCGGGGACTAGTGATGTCAAGTGTCTGAAGAAGAAGAAAGTAAATTAGAAAGAGAATAAAGGTAGTCAGATAAAGGTGGTAAACACATAACAGAGTGTGCAGATGTTGTATTATGAAGTTGCATACTTGAAATTTGTATAATGTTATAAACCAATGTTGCACCAATACATTTAATTTTTTAAAAAGAAGAAAGAGGAGTCAAAAGGTAGAGTGATTTGTTGACGGCTTTGGAATGAGTGTCTTAGTCTTGTGTTTATGATTAATAATGCTCTAGATTTCTATTAAGCTTTATAATTTTTCAAACTTTTTGCTGTGTGTTAGGCAGGCCAGGTATTGTGATTCCCATTTTACTTATGAACAAACTGATGCTCAAAGGGTAAGAGGCTGTTCCAAAGTTGCAGGACTGCTGTCACATTGCAGAGCTTGTCCTGTGATGCTTACACACAGTGTCAAACTAAATGTCAGGAAGAGGCATGGTCTGTCTGCAGGGAAGGAAGAAGGTCCAGAATAACTATGTAAGTAAGGTTTTAAAAAGTGACCATTAAAATAAGTTTGGTTTGGAGGCCTCCAAGTGCTGAGGGAAGTATAGTGTGCAGTTGTCAGAGAAAGGTCAGCCACACAGGCTTCCCCAGAGTATGCACTTACTCTGGGATCAGGGCTATCCCTCTAACACACATGCAAAATTCTTAACACTTTATAAGTGCTAAATATAATATTCTTAGATGTTCATATTAGATGCATTATATAAAAGTAAGTTGTAAACAACCTGCCTAGTCTATACCATATTTTAAAATGTGTGCATGTTTTACATATTGTATATGTACATTATGCATTAAAAATATCTAAGGATTTTTTTTTTTAACAAACATTGGATGGGTACTTTTTTTTCTAAAATCATTTTCAGATTTATTCCAACCTTTAATTTCCCTTTTATCTCTCTTTAGAGAAAGTATTGTGTAAATGCATTATATATGTATTGTGTGCATAGAAGTATATATGGAACAATGTATGATTAACTGTCAATGGTAGTTAGACCCTGGGCAATGGTTTGAGGGTGGGGTCTTGATATTACTATACCTTTTATTTTATACTTTACTCTTACTTGAATAAGTTACCATAAGAAGATGTTATTTTATCCACTTAAAATATTTATTTATTTAATTAAAAATAAATATTTATTTTTACTGTAATGTGTGAAATAAACAATTAGAAAGAATATAAAGAGTATTACAACACAAGTATTTCTTAAAGTGCATTTCAAAAATTCTCTGCTAGACTTGGCTTTGGATTTCTGGATCTTTGTGCCTGTATTGTGCTGAAAGACTTTACAGGTGCATCCGGAGTAATAAGCCAGTTACCATCATCTCAGTCATAAGCCACCCCTCAGATGTCATGGAAATTCGAATGGTCAAAGAAAATTTTAAAGCAAGACCTGGCCAGGTGAGTCATTGTTCAGCAACTTTTGAAATACCTTTTATTCTTATGTAATTTTTGAAAATTAGTATATTAGTGCCATCATTGGAAAATTTGAACTTCTATTTTGGTCATTTAAAAATTGTTTGTTGCTTTTTAGTATATTACTCTGCATTGTCCCAGTGTGTCTGCATTAGAAAACCATCCATTTACTCTCACAATGGTAAGAAACTTATTTTTGTTTTTTTGAAATGCGTGTCTTCATTTTGTGTGTGTGTGTACTCCACCTCATTCTAAAAGTCATTCAAGGCTGTCACAAGATCTCAGTTTAAGCCATCTCTTTTGCAGAGAAATATAATTACCTGTACAGAAACTTTCTAACAATTGTTAACTATTTTCTATTGTAATATTCAAAATGTATTATATTTAAAATTTATTAAATCTTGTTGCTTCAAAATACAGAAAATCATTTTTCTATATGTACTTTTTCTTTTATGACAGATGTGCCAAAATATAACATGTGCATGATATTCTTTAAGGAGATTGAATTTAGGGAAAAAGGGGTACTCTGAGTTGAGATGGAAGCATAAGAAAATACAGGCAATGTTTAGACAGGAAAAAGTCCAGTGTAATTTGTACCCATGCTGTATATGGGGAGGAAAAGGAAAATAAAGTCAGACAAATGAAATGGAATAATAATGGTGGGGCTATAATAATGGTGGGGCTAGCTAAATAATGGAATCACCCAATATTTTTAGCACATTGCTTAACATTATTTGGTGCATTATAAAAGTGGCATAAGCCATTATAAAAAAGTGAACAATTCACAAGTAAATACGATAAAATAGGAACTTTTCCTCATTTTCCCTTTTTCTCTAGAGTTTGACATATATTCTTCCATTTTCCTATATAATTTAGCATATATAGGTGTTTGGCATGTTTGTTGAATCATTTGTTTTATAATTTTCTCTTTTTCCTCAACAATATATTATGGGCAACTTTTCATGTTACTATATTTTTATATTCCTCATTTTTTTTTAAAATGATTGCTTAATATTATACAATTTATTTACTATTCTCCATTGATGATGGTGACTAAGATTTTATTCAGTTTCAAACAAAGGTCACTGAGAATAATGACCACATGTTTAAATATGTGCTTAAGATATGCAAATAAAATTGAACAAATTATGAAATGGGGAGGCAGATAAATAACTGGCTTTACACCAGTGCTGAGGTTAGTGCTGAGGTGTAAGGTTGGGTTTACTAGGATTGATACCGCTATAAATTTGAGATGCCTCTTGAGAACATGTACTTGTGAGGAGAGCTAGGCCAGAAAAATCTATATTGAAGGGATAAAAAAAACAGAAAGGGAGTGTCAGATAGTTAAAGAAAAAACAGAAGTTATTTGAATAAATAATAGCAATTTTTTAAAGGAAAAAAATTGCTTAATTGCTCCAAATTTTACATTCTGTTTATATGTAGTAAATTCATTTATTAATGATTAAGAAAACAGGGCAGTGGTTACCAGAGGAAAAGGGGTTGGGCGGGTATTAAAGGATAAAATTAGTCAAATGTATAGTGATAGAACATTTACTCTGGGTGGTGGGCACACAATGCAATATACAGGTGATGTATAATAGAAATGTACACGTGAAACCTACATAATTTTATTAACCAATATCACTCAATAAATTTAATTTAAAAAGAAAATTTAGTTTGACATCTAGTGAAATAACTAACAACATTCTATTATATCAAGAAAGATTGAAATTCAGGAGTGAGTTGGATGGAGGCAAAGAGATTAGATGCTTGGAATTTTATATTCATGAGTTTTTCATTTTATCTGACCATCTGTGTACCAAGTACTGTGTATAGGCTTTAAATATGGATTGTAGCCTTCTCAGATTTAGGGGAATTAATAGCTGGCTCACTCATACTGTCCCACAAGGGAATTACTGTTTTCATAAGAAGGAAAACAGGCAAATCTTGCTGCTGTCTAGAAATGAATTTGAGTAGAGAAAACATTTTTAAGCTAAATTTTACCTTATGCTGTTTTGTTAATTTACTATTAGTAACCTTAAATGAATAGTTAGCCAGAAAATTCTCTAGCAAATTGGGTTTATTTGGGAACAACAAAGAACTGCAATTTAGGACATGTGGTCTAATGGTGAATCACATGCAAGTCCAAAGAACAAAGGACAGAAACTTCCTTTTATGAAGGAAAGGAGGAGTTCCAAGGGGTTGCTGTAAACAAAGAGTCTATTGGAGGACACTGGGATGTCCCAGTGTAGCGGTTTTTCATTGGCTGAGTTGTAACCGTCTCTCATTTGTTGAATGGTTGCTGAGCAAGAAGATCCTACTTCTTCCTACTGGAATAGTTAAGTAGAAAAACATCTTCCTCTTGGAGATGGAAAGTATGTTTCTTCCTGTTAGGGTAATTAATTATGTGTATGAGTGAGAGCTCCTCCTACAGGCCCTCACAACTCAAATTTAAATGAAGTTTCTGTTTATAAATCACATTACGTTTTCCTGCCAATTCCCTTCTTTTTGTCCAATTAATTGTATTTGACACTTACATTTTTCTTATATTTTCACTGGATAGTTCCCTTAAGGGTTCCCTTGAAATAAAACAAAGTAGTTTCTCATGTGCTGATTCCCACTAAAAAGTGTGTACATACTTCATCTTTGGCAAAGATAATAGTTTCTACTAATTAAGTGTCTAAAAGGTTCCTTCATAAACTTTGAAAATATTATATGGTTTAATTTTTACTATATTCCTATGAGATATGTATTATTAACTCTATACTATATAAAAAATAATGTGACTGCAAGAGATTAAATAAAGTCGCATTGCTAGTTAGTGACACAGGTGAAATGCTGCCTGGCTGAAAGGCCTGTCTGTGGTTAGCTATTCTGCACGCTCGCTCTCAACTCAGCACTCATCGATGTTCAGAGAAATTCTTACTGGTTTTGGACACACTTGTTGTTGGGGTCAAACAACAAAAGAGAGTTACCATTTAGAAAGAACTTGACTAAGACTATAGAAAGTTATTTTCAAGAGAAATGTGTAATTGGATGTTTTGGATCGTCTACACTATTAAGCTCTTCAAATACTGTGGAGAGTCAGAAGTCAAATTAAATTTCCCTGCTAGAAGGCTGTGACAGTGTAAGGAAAAAGCAAATCTATAAAATATGTAATGATCACAAATTCGGTAGTTGGAACTTCAGCTCATATTTTCAAATGGAGATTAAGCTTTTAAAACTGAAAATAAGAAAAATGAGTATTAAGTATAAAAGATAAGGTGCAGAAGCACTATAGTAATTTTCACAATTTCAGTCAAGGCCAAGCCAAGTTTTGATTACCGATTTAATTAGAAACCGAAAGGTTGGAGTTTTAATTACTTATGGTGCTTCAGCATTTTTACACTTGACATTTATTTTCCTCCACAAGGACATGATAATTTGGTGGGTTTTTCTAGGAAGTTGTGATTGTTGCCTGCTACTGCACCTGCATTCTCCTAGGGCAGAGCCAGCAGGTTCATGTTTGCTGACAAGACTGAGGGGTGTCAGAGGTAATTGTGTATTACTAGACCATGGTTTTTGCAATCCTAGATAGGCTGGTTTGAAGGCCTGGATACCCCACTTAGTATACTATATCCCTGGACAAGATGATTAACATATTTACCTTTGGTTTACTTCTTTATAAAATGTGGGTAATAATAGTGACTTCCCAATAGAGTTACTGTAGATAGGAAGTAAAAAGATACAATCAAGTGCTCATCATGGTGCCTGACGTATAGTAAGTTCTCAGGTTAGAAGTTGTTATCCATGGTCTCATCCACATTTCACCTTTCAAAATGTGTTAACACCTCCCATTGTTGTTATCACTCCCCAGGTCACCTTTGCTGTTGTGTTTTCTATTTTTATTTGTTATGGTGGTTGTTTCAAATAATGAGTTCAGAACCAGGACAGGATTAAACTGAATTTTTTTGCCCCATTCTGCAGCATGAAGTAACTGAATGAACTCTGGCCACAGACTGGTTTAGAAACAGTCATTTGGGGACTGACGATTTATTTTCCACTTGTGGTTTACTAGCCGTTAGGATGAATGATGGACCTTTATTGGCTGAAAACCTGGGTAAAATTTTACATGTTGTTCTTCAACTATGTAGTGGATCTCTATGTGTTTTCCAACTATGCTCTGCAATTGCCAAGTTTGGATTTTCTACCAAAACAAATCTATTAAAATATTCTGTCATCTAATATAGATGTGTAAATCAGATATGATTTTAAAATTCCCAAACTTAAAAAGGTATGAAACCAGTCTGGCTGGTGTGGCTCAGTAATTGAGTGTCGACCCATGCACCAAAAGGTCACCGGTTTGATTCCTGGTCAGGGAACATGCCCAGGTTGTGGGCCCCATCCCCAGTGGGGGCATGCAGGAGGCGGCCAATCAATGTTCTCTCTCATCAATGTTTCTGTCTCTCTCTCCCTCTCACTTCCTCTCTCTCTGAAATCGAAGGAAAAAAAAATTTTTTAAAAAGTATGGAACTTACTGCTTACTGCAAAATGTAGCTTCCTTAGTATTTAATTGAGGTAGACATTAATTATGCTCATTAATATTTTTCATGGATTCTCAATGAAAGAAAGAATGCACAATTTTTTATGCTAGTAATTGATTGAAGTTTACATAAGTATTTCTATAGCCTTTCCTTATTATTTTAATTCAGAAGTACACATGTGCCTTCCTAACATCTCTATTCTAAGTAGTGTGATTCATTACTTTTAAGCTTGGATAACCTGATTTCACATATTTTTCCATGAGTCAGAAGCAAGTTTAGCTGTTAGTTTGTTATTGTCTGTACTTTAACATAGCATGCCTTCACTTGCCATTATTTTTCTGCTTTTTGTTTTTAATCTCTCAACCAGTCATTTTGGTAATAGTTTTTCCAGTTTTCAATGAAAACCAGACAATAATGGCCATGAATGCTTAAAGATTGAAAAAAAATTGTTATTATTTATTTAATTTCATGTATTTAAATGTAAGCAAGAAATCTGCATTAGTGGTTTGGATCTTGGGTCTTGCTTTCATCTATCTAATTCTTAAAAATTGCTTTTCTCTAAGGTTTCACAAATATTTTGCTTAGACAGCTTAGAAACTCAGCTGTGATAAATGACAGATCAGCAAGGCAATAAAGTGTCTTAACTATAGACCATGCA